CTTCTTCTTCTTCTTCTTCTTCTTCTTCTTCTTCTTCTTCTTCTTCTTCTTCTTCTTCTTCTTCTTCTTCGTCTTCTTCTTCTTCTTCTTCTTCTTCTTCGTCGTCGTAGTAGTAGTCGTAGTAGTAGTAGTAGTAGTCATAGTAGTCATCATCATCTTCTTCTTCTTCTTCTTCTTCTTCTTCTTTGCCTACAGATGTGTCAGTAGTATACAGGCGTATAGTGTTTACGTACGTTTTTTGCTGAGAAAAGAAATTTTTTCAAACATAATTTTCAGTTGGCGAGGAAGGAGCGCAAAGAAAACTACCTCTTTTCTTTCTCTCTATCATTTGCCTCGTACAGTTTTTTATGCCTTTTTTCTTCTCCTCTTCTTCCTCCCTTTTATTTCTATTGTCATAAATAATTCGCTGACTATGAGAATGCCTCCCTCCTCTCAAATTCTTATCTATAAGATGACTATCGTCCTCACTTTTTTTTCGTTATTTCACTTTTTTCCCGCATGACGGTTTTTTTTCTCGACTTTTTCGATTATCTGTGTTTAAACTTGTTCTTTTCCGCTTTTGGGTGGCCAGGGCAAATCCTTGTTTCAAACTTTTCTGAAAAAAAAAACTGCAAAACGGTAGAAGATTCGAACAACAGTTTAGACAGTTTAGACAATTTGGACAGGTCGAGAAGGTCATTTGCCTCGTACAGGTAAAAAAAAAGAAAGCTTCAACTTACTATTATTCAGATCTGATATGTAGAAGAGATACCGTAAACACTTTAATAGAACGCATTTCAAATCGTCAACTTTGAGCTCATATATCTTAGTGCCTGTAAAAGGTATCAAAAGGAGGTTCACTGATAAAATGTTTATCATAATATCGACAACATTTTGTCAGTTGATCTTTGTAAACCATGAAATATAGAACCGCTTTTTGATATCTTTCACAGAAACTGATAGTGAGATAAATTGGCTCGAAGTTTACAGTTAGGTGGCTCGTTCTATTAGCTTGCTTACGGTAACTACAGTAACCCTGACCGATAATGTACCGTATCTCCATCATGAAGTTTTTTGTCTGTTTTCACTGAAGTTAGTTAATGCTCTGCAATAAATTCAATTAAAAAAATATATGAAGACGTAATTCTTTACACCGGAAAACCTGTAATAGAAGGGTATTCTATAATTAATTATCTATCCTAATTTCAAGAAACTTATTTGTCTGAAAATCAACTATAGAAATGGAAGCTCTTCTTGAGAAAAGGCAGAAAAAATTACGAAAATGAAAACAGTTTTTTGAGTTTTCATCGAATCAACTTTTTTCAAAATTTGAATAACCGTACTTCCTCTAATAGAAGTCCACCCAGACTGACAACTTTGAGCTCAATTACCGTAAAACCTCTAATAGAACACACCCCGGAACGTCCACTTTGAGCCTATATATCTCACTTCTTTTGAAAGGTATCAAAAAGTGGTTAACTAGTAAAATGTTTATCAGGATATCAGCAACATTTTACTAGTTAGCCACTTTTTGATATCTTTTGCAGAAAATGAGATATATAGGCTCAAAGTGGACGATCCGGGTGTCGTTCTATTAGAGGTTTCACGGTATCTCGATTCCTGTGGAAGATATCAAAGTTTTGTCAACTGAGAAAATATTTTTGGTACTATGGTAAGCATTTTTTCAGTTGACCACTTTCTGATATCTTTCAACAAAAAATAGATACATGAGCTCAAAGTAGACAGTTTAAGTGCCAATCATTTGGAACTTTTTTTACTTCTAAAACAAATTATGAACCAGTAAATCCAAATGGCAAACAGTTTTGCCAGTTCATTCCCTCTTTCTGTTGCTTCTGTGTTAACAAATCAATCAAAAAGTGTAACTTTCTCCATAAGTTTAATTAGTCGTTTTTCCCTTCCTCTCTTCTCTTTGGAATTTCTTATCATTTCCTTTTTTGTCTATTTCCCTCCGATGTGCTTTCGAATTCAAATGAATCTTTTTGTCCTATGACCTTTTCTGTCCTCATCGCCCATTATTTTATCGCTTTGCTAAGCAATAAAATCGCTGCTCAATCGGCATCGATTTGCATTCATTGTGACTCAGATGGCACTGGGAGAGAGAAGAGAAATACGTGTCTCTTTCTCTTTTTCATTTCCTTTTGGTGGTCTTATTTACCAGTCTTCTATCCATGTCTAGACATAGAATTTAAGTTTTGGTAGAATTTTGTAAACCATGAAATATAGAACCGCTTGAAAGATGTTTCAATTAATCAATTCAGAATAAAAACTTCCGTAGTTTCCTCATGATCATAATTTTGTCCGACTTATAAACAAATTTCTGAAAAATCTCATTTTTTTTCTTCCGTTTTTAGGATTTTTTTGATTTGGAAAAGTTTTATTTTCCGACTTGTCTGGAGGTTTCCAACACAAAAATCATCGAAAAGCAATATTAATCGAGAAAAAGGGCCGGAAATTTTAGGTTACTGTAGTTTTGGTTGTAGGATATTTGGCCATAGCCACCGGAGTTTCTCTTCCACATTTCCGAAACTTTTGAACTAGAATCCGCCACCTTCTTCCTTTAAATCGAGTAAGTTTCACGTACCCCCATATTCGACATTTTGTAGAAATTTTTTTGAAGAATCGGAACTAGGTCAATTCCGGTCCGTTTTGGCTGATTTTTTTAAATCGATAGAAAATCTCTATGGCTGTCCGGTTACTAAAAATCGTCAAAAGTGGTACTTTTTGAACCAAGATATGATGCAAAACGTACAAGTAGATCCGATTTTTTTCTCGTTTTCCGGTTTTTTCTACCGGACTAGGGCCTAAATCAAAAATCCGCCACGACCACTCGATGCACAATTTTGATAGCTACATTGAGAAAAAATTGGACTTGATGCTCATCAATTGAAAACGAGGACGCTAGTCATATTTAGGATAACTTGATTAGTTATGTTAAAATGAGGTTCCCACAACTTCCCTGAAAAAAATAAATTTGAAGAAAAAGTAGGTTAATCTCTACCAAACGGATTCAACTACTTGCAAGCTTAGATAATGTCATATTCTTTATGAACAAGCTGTAGACAATGTAAGTCCTTTTTACTTTTTAAATTATTACAAACATTTTATTCTAATACCGTTTTTCCAGTGATAGATAGCAATGATAGATATCAATGATAGATATGACACTGTACTTTGTTTTACAAAAAAAAAACATTTCTTCTATTCCCAGATAACTTCAAAACATATTTCCCACCGGAACTTCCTTTTCTCATATAAAACCCCAATAAAACTGCCTTTATCAATCTAATAAATAACGGAGAACTGGGTGGTTCCCTAAAACTATTAACCCAAATATATCTAGTTGTCATCTCATTCAATAAATCTATTTCTCGTGTTCTTTCCTTTCTTTTTCTCCCATTTCTTCCTTCGAAAGAGCACGAAACTCGTAATTTCTGATCTTTTCGCAGTAGATGATTCGTTAAAAAAAGTGCCTTTGCGTCATGTGTCCCTCTCAGTTTTTTTTTGCCATTTTATTCCTGATTCCACATGACATATGACCCACAAAGTTTCCCATTTTTCAAGTCGATCCGAAACCTAAATAAACGTTCTCCTATATTTATCCCCTCCTAATTTTGCCTGAATGTCTTATTCCATAAAAGTCCAAGTGACCGTTTCAATACCTTCAAAACAGGTGGGTCAAGTGGTTTCGCAATCTCACGCCCCACTTCAATTTTTCGCTGTGAAATCCGACCAGTTTTAGAGAACATACTTTTTTTTGAACAACGATATTTGAATTTCAGATGACCGGAAGATACCAAAGTGGCTTCCACCGAGAACCACAGAAACCCTTTATTCATCCAAGCGAGGTTAGTTTTCAAAGTTTTTGAAAGAGCTTCAAGAACTATTCGGAAGGATTGAAAGTAGATTTTCTAAGAACTTGAGACATTTTGATTTGGGAATAAAAATCAGTAATTAACAAAATGAGATATCGTTGGGTTACTGTAGTTATGAATCTTCAGATTCCATTTCGATGGGTTTTCCGGTAGATAGAGCTGTCTATCAGACATGTCCGGGCTCCGCATATCGAATTCCGGATTCCGGATTCCGTGTTTTTTCACTCTGGATTTTTGATTTCGGGTTCCGTGAAATACATTTTGTTCGACTTCCAGATTTCGGATTTCAAGAAAATGATTTTATTCTGGATTTTCAGCAACTATGTTAATCTACGATAATTCTCTGAAGCGCGAGAATTGTTTTTAAACTTCCTAACGATGCAAACTTGAAGCGCCTATGTTTTTTTAAAGAATTTTTCTGAACACTGGAGATGTCCGAATTCCGAATTATTAATTTTATTCCGTGCATATTATTTTTTTACAGATTACGAATTCCGGATTCCAGAAAAATTGTTTTATTCTGGATTTCGGATTCCGTTTCTCGAAAAAGTCATTCTGGACATCTTTGCTTGAGAGTTGATGTAATTATAAAGACTAGATATCGTTGGGATTATTGTAGTTACTAATCTAACAAGATTCCATTTTGATGGAAATTTTGATAAGTAGAGCTGTTTACTCCATCCCAGGAAAAGTTTTTAAATGATGGTTTATCCTATTTTTACATTGTCAGTTTGCCATGTGCACGTAAAAGTAGATCACATTTCGTATTATCTCATTTTGGAACCTACTTATTAAAATGTCAAATTTGAAAAGTTTCCGGTTATTGGAAACGATTTTCAAAAACGACGAAAAGTTGAAACGCACACACACAGGCATCACACGCAAAAAGTAGCTGCGCAAGTGCTGTCGGAAAGGTTTCCTTTTCGTTTTTTTCCGTCCAACTACCGCACTTCAAAAAAATTTCACATATATATGTATTTGAAAGTGAAGCGGCATGTTCTATTCCGTCTCTCTTTCTCTATTTCTTTGTTGTTTGTTCATTTCGCTTCCTTCCGATTCGTGTACTCTCTCCCCTACCTTTTGCCTCCTACTTCTTCCTCTCCTTCTAGTTACCTAGGGGATATATGTACACTCTTTTTAAAAAAAATGCCTCAAAATCGTACAGATTTTGATGACGACGATCTAGAAAGCTATCTAGAAGGCTCTGTTTGGTCTGAAAAACCATCTGCTTCTGAAATTTTCTCGAATCGACCCGGAGACGTTATCAGTGTATTCCCCCATGCTTCACATTCCAATATGATTTATGGATATCCTTCGAACTTTCGAGAGACAGTTTTCCCGTAAATTTTCAATTATTCGTATAAAAGTAAAAGATGATTCCCCTTCCAGAACACAACGTGGTTCTACAGACCCCAGTTATGATGATTACTATACAAAGGTATCAACAATATTTAAACTCCAAGCCCAGATGGAGAAGGTTTTTTGGATAACCCAATTGAAAATTTTTAATAAGATTAAAAAAAATTTTTTTTCTGAGTTTCCGCATATTAGAACTTTGGAATTAGACCACTTATAAATTTCTGATTAGCAGAGGTTCATAATTTTCGGATTTGGTACTTTCGAATTTCGAACTTTTAAACTTATTGTTAGAATTTTCGAATTATTGAACGTTTGAATTTCTGAATATTTTTTTTGGAATTCTCATTTATATATTTTGGAATTCTCATTTATAAGAATATATCTCAACCAGCAAGCTGGTGCGCCTTCGGCGCGTTCTGATCTAGTTTTTACTGGCTCGGCGATAGGAGTCTCACTTTTTCTTAAAGGGTCACGTAATCCTATATTTATGTTTCAAGCTTTTCAAAAGTTGACAGCCGGACACCAGGACGGACAGACGCGTGTAACGTTTTATATGTAAAGAAGATTGCTGAATTATCGAATTTCTTGGATCCCGAGTAGTTGAAGTTCCCAGCTTTCTGAGTTCTTGACATTCTCAGAAGCTCTAATTTTTTCGATAATGCATTTTCTAATTTTCATATAGCCAAAACAAGGATTTTTCAAATTAGACAATTTAATAAGATAATAATTATGAGTTCCGTAAATCTCGATGATCAGTTTGTGATCTACCGTAACCAGCTTTGTTCTCGAAACTCCTCATTTTTCCTGACTACTGAAAACTGCCAAAATAAAAACTAGATAAACGAACAAATACTGTATAGAAATAGTTCTTGTGTCAATAATCAAATGTCAACTAACACTTTTTTGCGTGTGATCAAATAAAATGAAGTGATTTAGATCACCGAAAGACGCCCGAGATCACCAGGACCTGTTGCTGGAGCTGGAGAAATCACAAACACAAGTCATGGGTTCACAATTGAAATTGACGTTTTCCATTTTCTGCCAGAAGAAATCAAAGTTGTGCTCACAGATGATACATTGAGCATTTCGGGAGAACGTTTTGAATCTACTGGAGATGGACACACGCTTCGTAGAAGCTTCTCAAGGTTTTTAGGAAGAGAATTCCAGATGGTTGATAACATAATTTTAGAAAGTACTCGATCCCAGAAGACGTTCACTTGGATACCATCAGAAGCCATCTCACTAATTCTGGAGTTCTCATCATCAATGTGAGTTTTGCGAATCACTTAATTCATGCAGATAAAAACATTAACGTTTCGAAATTTTCTACCAAATTTGGATTAAAAATACAAAACTATTTTTTTTCAGGGCTCTCGCAAAGGATGGCGCGAGACTAGCATCTCCACTTATCAACCAGCTCAAAGACACGTCTCCAGAAGTGTAACTTCAATTGTTTGAAAAACGACACAAAGACCAAGTACAATACTATAACTATATAGCAACCCAGTGATGCTAGCCGCGTTTTATTATATTAAACCTGTGGAATTTTTATCACGAGAGTAAAGATTTTTTTTTGTTTTTGAAAAGTATTTCTATCATGACACCACTTTGTTTTTTTTTAATTTTTAAAGGAGTTGGGCAAGAAAGAAGCTTGAGGGGGCATTTTCGGGAAAAGGAAGCATCATGATGTTCAGGTGGGAATAATACATTATTCAGGAAAAACAAAAAAAATAATCTGATGTTTTTGGAGAACCAGTTGGAGATAATTCTGAATCGAAATTATATAAATTTTTTGAAAAAGCTTCAATGTCATGAATTCTAGTAACATCATTGGAAAATCACGCTTAATCATAAGTTAGTAGAGTGGTTCGCTAGAGACTTCCACATAATTTCTATAAATTTTAACCAATTGTAATTATGGTAGACTACATATGGTCGAAAGTTATAGTCTTAAAAAAGAGGTTTTGAAAGTGTATAATAATCAAGATTCGAAGAACTACTTCGATTCATTAGAATATCATTTTTCACTTAAAACTTTTGAAAACATTTCTGAAATTTCGAAAATTTTTAAAATTTGGAGAACCCGGGCCCGTCGGGCTCTTATTTTGCAAGTATGATTAAAAATTGTAAAAATAGGAACAGGTAATCTTATTTGAGGAGCTGTTGGCAGGTACGCGGCATATAAGTTTTGTAACCATCGCTATGCATGCTATATGTGTTTTCTGGTCCAAAAAAATTGAATAAATAAGAATGAATGAATTGAAAAGCCGATTTATCGTCTTCTTTAATGGTTGTCAAAGGCTTGTGACGAGTTGGAAGTCTGTAATATTTATTACACTCTTAGCTTAATTATCTTGATTTTGGGGAAGTCATGATTTTGCACAGTAGAAATACACAATTTCATTTTTCTCATCAATTTAAGCTAACTTCTAAAAAATCTGTGTACATGCGAAGTTATTTCGAGAATTTTTGTCGCACTTGCAACGTCACACTTGCGAAACTGCTCTCTTTCGAAGTGACCATTGAAGGAATTCCGCAGAACCTAAAAATCTAACTGTTTTTCCCAACATGCCAGTTTTTAGTAGTTTTTCTCGTTCTAAAATGTCATAATAACGAACAATACTGTTCAATGAGTGAAATATGCATGACGAAAAGCGAAAGATTATGTAGTCGAGATGTGGAATGAAAGAAGAGAACGAGAGGAAAGAAACATAACTTTGAATATTTCGAGTTCAATTTTAAGAAATTTGAAGTTTGCGAAAACGCAGAGAAAAACATCGGAAGTTCTGTTTCATACAGAACTTGTGATTTCTTAACTGTTTTCTCTTACTCGACTCATAATGATTAAACTTGGAAAAAATCAGAGTTATTTTTCGAAGACAATACACATATCACAGAACTATTAGTAGAAAATGCTATAAAGAATTGTTAGTGATCAGAATACCCTGTATGAATAGCATTACGACTGCTGAGGGACGGTCCGTTCTTGAGGCGTAATGTCTAGCAAACGGGCCGTCGCCGGCGCGGAAACTCGCGTGGCGACTGTTCTTTATTTAGCAGGTGCCGCCCCGGCGTTCGCCCGTTATCCAGAGGTCCTGGGCGATGATGCGCATAAAGGACTCGATCCATATGCGATCCTCTAGAAGTCCGTTTGACACATATCGCGAACAACGAGCTGCGATGAGTCTCATATGTGTGCGATGCGGGGAGGCTGAATCGAGTGTTCCGAATGCGCGCGTATCCTAGATGGATTCTGCGTGGGTGGGCGATATGTGCGATATGGGTCTGATACGGTAGGCCGACTACAACACTCCGAAATCCCGGATGCGCGCATTGTTTACCGTAAATCCACACCGGCAACTTTGTCAATTTTTCGTCAATTCGAGCCTACATTTCTGGTTTTTCGATTATTCCTTCGATGTTTTTTGTGAAAAAGAATTATGGCAAAATAAAAAATCGCTGAATTCTTGCAGAAACATGTCTTTCACTCGTTAATTGCTATGTTTTTCGCCAAAATAGGTGATATTGAGATTTTTTGATTTCACTTTGTAATTATTGTAAAAATCGTATTTTCAGGTGGAGTAAAAGGTAAGTTGGTAAGTATACAATAATTACAAAGTACAAATTATAAAAATTTTCAATTTTTCATGCAATTTCAAAAAAGTGAAAGTGAGACATTTTTTGAACAAATGAAAAAAAAACAATTTTTAGCGAATTTTTTCCCATGTTCTTCTGTTTTTGATTGCATATCAAATTTAAATGGAAACTGCCATAAGTCTTTTTCAAAACCAAAACATTGAGTTTCGAAAAATCAGTAATATGTCGTTCAAAATATAAAAGAATATGGAATAATAAAGGAAATGTACGAAATCGAAAGACCTGAACAAAATCACATCACAATAGAACTTAACTGATACTTCTAGGAACCCCCAACCAACATTTTAGTTCATTTCATCGAGTGCCAGCAAGCCAGGCGAGGAGATGCTTTGCGGCGGCGTGTAAACCGGTGCGCTATTGCAGCAACAAATTCTTCTGTTGTTCTGTTATATAAATATCTTCTAGTTATTCTTACGTGAAAATGTTCATAACTAATTTAATTTAAAATTATTTTTCGATACGAGGAGCCAAGATTTGATTTCACTGGTGTTTGGTATCCTTAATTTGGGGAAGATAATCTGTAACAGATTACAGAATCATCAGAATTAAAAAAAATCGCCGTAGATAAAAAATTCTGAAATCGAGGGAAACCCCATTTTCTATTATGGTGACAAAGAGTATCCAAAACAATGGAATTTTTTGCATTGAATTGTTCGAAGATTTTTTGAAAATTTATGCGTTATTATTAGATTTCTTTTCTACTTGAAAAAAATGAATTGTCGAATTTTTAGCTGGACTCAAAGCTGTTTGAAATAATATGGTTTCTAGGGCCTTGTTTTTAGGTATCCGTCGGTCTAAGATGCTAGCCTATTTAAAAGGCTTTTTAGTAAATATAAAAAATCGAAGAATTTTGAGTCTAATTTCAATATTTTTAGCTCAAAAATCGAGAAAAGCGACCAAGAATCGTTTTTTAAGCTATAAAATCATTCAATTTCAGTGAAGTAAATTTTTTGATTGGGATTTTAAAGCTAGAGAACGAAAATCAAAAATTAAAGTTTTTTGCTCGAAAATCGACAAATTTAAGCAGAAAAATTGCAAGAATTTTCATCTGAAAAATGAAGAAGTTTGAAGCGAAAATTGGAAAATTTTCGGCTGAAACTCGATGAATTCCAGCTGAAAAAATAGGCATTTTTAGAGCTTAAAAAATCATATTTATTATGTGATTTCATAAATAATTGAAAAAATTCAACAGAAAGTCTTGGGGGCTTTTCGACTAGAAAATTATACAAAAAATTCGTTTTTTTCTACCTAAAAATCATTAATTTCTAAGAAGACATTCGTTTCATCGTTGCAATTTTCAAATTAATTTTTTTTGCTTTTTTAACTGAAAATTTGCATTTTTCAGCGGAAAATTCGTAATTTTAGATTTGTTTTTTCTTTGAAAATCACAAAATTGGGAATTTTTAGCTCAAAAACCGAAGAATTTCAGCAGATATTTAATTTTTTCACCCAAAAAAAGGAAACATGTGCTATTTTTCGGTTTTTGGCTTTGGGATTTTGTGAATTTTTAAGAATTTGAGTTTTTAGAATGGAAATGTGGTAAAATTGAAGCAAAAATTAAGATTTTCAGGCTAATTTTTGACTTTTTAGCTAGATTTTTCAGCTCGGTTTCTTATTAGCCCACTTAATATTTTTAGAGGTTTTTTCCTAAGCCTGTATTTTAATCGGCATATTTAGGATGCTAGGCCTATTTTCAAGGGCTAAGCCTATTTTTTATTTGCTGAAAGTACTTTTAAGAGCTAAAATGACTTCACGGTGGCTAAGGTACAAAGTGTTCGCCAATTTAGTCATCACATTTTTCCGGAAGTTTTTGAAAGGGTTAAATTAGCCCGACTAATCAGACTTCTGGGGGACGTGGTTTTTGTTTTTGGGAAGATATCTGCTCTTTGTGTTTGTTGTAATACTGTGTATTATCTGTCATGTTTTCAATAAATCAAATAAAAAGTCCTCATCAAAAGGAGAACAATTCGTGTGGGGGGAGGGGAATACATTTGAAACTATTTTTCCATTCGAAATCGTATTGTGGATCCACGTGAAAATTTTTTTCTGCAATTTCTTTCCAAGTGATGAAAATCTCTTCCCCGTGAACTAATATCACGGGGGAAAAGCAACAAAAAAAAGCAACAGAAAAAATGCTCTTCCAAGTAGGAATACGCACTCTCCTCCTTGGAAAACCATTTTCAAAATGATCAGAAGCTGGACAGCCGAGCTCCAGACTCCTGAAAATTGTCAAAATGGCCGAAAATCTGCTGTAGAATACGTTATTATAAATTTTCTTAAAGTTGTACTGTATTTCGAACAATTTTGAATTAATACTATTGGTTCACAAAGCTCTCTACACAAAGCTATGATACTTGAGTCAACTTACTTGACCTTTTTTTCAAAAAAGTCAGAAAAAGGTTTCTACAGTCCGTTTCACATTTATACG